ATATCTAATGTCAGCCATATACTTTTCTTAGTATGTAGTGTACCTTTCTATTTATAAAAAAAATTTAAGAAACACTTCCAGACATACTTGTTGTGGTTAAGTGTTGTCGAGTTGGTTCCGACTCATAGTGACCTTGTATAGGGTTTCCCTGGAGCTGCTGGTGGGTTTAAATTACAGATCTGTGGTTAGCAGTCCAGGACTTATCCTACAGCACCACTCCAGGACTCCTCCAGGCACACTGTTGTTGTCAAGTGCTGCCAAGTCTGTTCTGACTCAAAGTGACCCTGTATAGGGTTTACAAGGAGCAGCTGATGGGTTTGAACTGCCGACCTTGATCCACAGCACCACACCAAAAGCCTGCCCAGACACACTAGAACATCTTTAATATAATAATGAAATAATAATAATAATGGTTTGTGGGCATCATACAACATTATAATAGAAAGAGTACATATAAAACATGTGGCATATACCTAAAGCTGTGTTTGGAAGAAAATTTGTTGTTGTTCTAGTTGTTAAACTGTCATTGAGTCGGTTCTAACTCATAATGACCCTGAATAGAGTTTGCAAGGAAGTGGCTAATGGCATTGAACTATCGATCTTTTGGTTAGCAGTCCAGTGCTTATCTTATAGATCCACACAGGCTGTAGAGGGAAATTTAGAACCTTGCATATATATGTCAGAGTAAGTAAAAAAATATATGTATAAATCACAGAAATTTTGTTATTAAACAAAAATATCAAAATATTAAACTGTTGTTTTTAGACACATCTTCCATATATATCTATATGCTTTTTTTAAGCTTTTATTGTGAATTGAGTAATAGTCTACATAGCATAAACTATCAGTTGTGCACTCAACCAATTGTATCTTGTTTCATTGCAATGATTATAATCCCCTCCTTGCACCAGTATTTGCCTCTATTCCCTTTTTTTTGTTTGTTTTCAATGTACACAAAAATACACAGGAATATATAATCATTTAAACAATCAAAGGGCACATTTTGCAGACTAGTCCCTGCCCATCAGCACACACTATTTCTTTCCATGAGTCTACAGTCCTCAAATGTTCTCTCTCTCCCTGCCATCACCTCTGCCTCTGTCTCTGGTGTTGCTGTTTCTCTGGTTAGGATCCCATGTTCTGCTCATGATCCTCTTTCTTAATGGTCCTAGGGTCCTCTGTTCTGGACTGTAAGATTTACTACTCTGCCCCCTCCCCCAATCCCCTGTTTTGTTGTGCAGCTTCTTCCTTTACAGTTGTGACAATCACAATTATCCATGACAACAGTTGTTGTTGTTAAGTGCTGTCAAGTCATTTCTGATCCATAGCGACCCTGTGTAGGGTTTCCAATGAGCAGCTGGTGAGCTCAAACCACCAACCTTGCAGTTCAAACTGGCTTTGCAGTCTGGTGCATTAACTTACAACACCACACCAGGACCCCATGATAAAAATTGTTGTTGTTGTTAGGTGCCATCGAGTCGGTGCTGGCTCATAGCGACCTTATGCACAGCAGAACGAAACACTGCCCGATCCTAGGTCACCCTCACTGTTGTTGTCACGCTTGAGCCCACTGATGCTGCCACTTGGACAGTCTATCTCATTGGGGAGTCTTCCTGTTTTTTGCTGACCCTCCACCTTACAAAACATGATATCCTTCTCCAGTGACTGGTCCCTCCTGACAATATGTCCAAAGAATGAAAGACGAAGTTTGGTCATCTTGGCCTCCAAGGAGCATGCTGGCTGCACTTCTTCCAACACGGATCTGTTAGTTCTATGGGCAACCCATGGCACTTTCAATATTCTCCTCTAACACCATAACTGAAAAGCATCAATTCTTCTACGGTCTTCCTTATGATAACAATTGTTTTTGTTGTTGTTGTATGCCATCGAATCAGTTCCAACTCATAGCGACCCTGAATAGGGTTTCCAATAACAATAACTCACTATTAAATCAAAAGAATCCTATCCCATCTCCTTTCACCAGCTCCTGTGATCACCTCATGTCCTTTGAGAATCCCTGAGAGAATTTGTCTGCAGTCATCCACTAACCTTAGGGACATGTTTAAACACGTTTTATTTGGAAAGCATGCTTTTTTTTTTAAGGTTTTTATTGTGGATTGAGTGAAAGTTTACAGGGCACATCATCAGTTTCACATTCAACCATTCATATGACTTGTTTCATTACATTGATTACAATCCCCTCCATACATCATCAGTCAACAGTGT